TACCAACAATTATATAGTTATACAATGCGATGTATATTTCCAATTTTTGATCGATTTTATGTTATGTTTTTTACCGTTTAGATATATTTTGTAAACATTGATAATGATCCGATCGTGATCGAAACGTTTGTTGTTAGCTGGCATGTTATTAAAGTTCATAATTAATTTATCGAGACATTTTTTTACTTATTTACAATTTTATACGTAAAATTTCTGGCTCGTAGCCCTTTTTCTTTTAACTTGTTTTTTAAATTATTGAGCCATTATACTATTATATAATTTTAAATATACAGCATTTTGCATAGCAATAATGTTTCATTTTAGCTGGAAAATGGCATATTATTACCTTCATTACGACCTATGTTACCTCTGCTCGACCTGCATGGAGTGAGAAGGTTAGATTTCCATGCCTCCGTTCTTGAGGAGCTGCGGGAGAAACTGATCAAGCAAATTGATGAGATTGGCGTGGAAAGGGCAGATAAAGGTTCGTCTGGAGACAAGAGAATGAAGGAATTGCTATCGAAAAGTTTTCCTGCTGTCAGAGTCAACGCTTTGCGACCTGTTGTTATGTGCATCCTAAAGAATACCTTACACATTGATGACAAATACTTGCGAGTGTTGGTTTGGGAAAGAGAATTGTACAATGACGCCGATACAGAAGTAAAACGTCAGATATGGAAGGATAATCAAAGTCTTTTTGGCGATGAAGTCTCGCCGTTGTTCAGTCGTTATATCATCGAGAAAGAACAGATTCTATTTGATCATCGCAACTTGAACAGTCTATTTTTTATGCCATCTCCGAAGGTATAGTATAATTGGTTGTACTTGAATTAGCATTGTATAATTCTCTCATTTTGCATAGGTAAGGAGACAAGGTGAAGTTGTACAGAAGTTAGCTCATATGATTGGACATAGTGTAAAATTGTATGATATGGTACTGCAGTTTTTAAGGACTTTGTTTTTACGCACAAAGAATATCCACTACTGTACTCTCAGAGCAGAACTGTTAATGGCGTTACATGATTTAGAGGTAAATATATTCAACATGTCAATTTATTTTGTCAGCTCGAGAGATCAAAGTTTTCAAATTGCATTACAACTATAATTTTTGTGGAAAGAAGTTGTGAACCTCTATACAGCAAAAAAATTTTTTATCTAATCCAATTTTTACTCTGGAGGATCATTTTTTTTATTGTTATTGTTTAAAGATTGAAATCTGTATGTAGAAGCAATCGAGCCCAAGACAATTATAAGTCCATCACTTCTACATGGAGCTATGCAACATTCTAGCAGAACTTGATATATAACTTAATTTACATCGCTTCAATTTTATTGAATGTACTATTTGTTGCCAGGTACAAGATATTATTTCTGTAGATCCATGTCATAAGTTTACGTGGTGTCTGGACGCATGCATTAGAGAAAAAAACGTGGATGTTAAAAGATCTCGTGAATTGCAAGGCTTTTTGGACAGTATTAAGGTAAATTGAACCAAAATTGTATTTCATAACATTATTTGCGTAAAGAAAGAGGTATTGATTTGTAGTTTTGTATAGAGAGGACAGGAGCAGGTGTTAGGGGATCTAAGTATGATTTTGTGCGATCCCTATGCAGTGAATTTTCTCGCTAGCAGTGCAATCAAAATAGCGCTTCATTTGATAAATTGTGAGGCATTACCCAGAGAAAATGCAGTGCTCGTATTGTTGTTAAGAATGCTCGCGCTCGGACTGTCTGCTTGGCAAATGATTGATTCGCAAGACTTTAAGGAACCAAAACTGGACAGTCAAGTTGTCACAAAGTTCCTGCCAGCACTTATGTCACTTATGGTAATTTATATGGAATAATTAAAATGTTTATATAGAGTTTATAATTTAATATAATAATATATAACAATTTAATATAATTTAATATAATATAAAAAAAGGAGTATGAGCATGGTATAGCAGACTGTGCACTGGTCTACTATACTAGGATATATTCAGATTCCCACCCAGGTGTTGTATCATCCTTGTTTGTTGTAACGTTTGGTAAGAAATAAGTGTTTCTGTTTTCTGTTCCTGCACTAGACTGCTCTAGAACTCTGTTTCTCACTTTTGACAAATATCAAATGTATATCTATCTCACTTTAAGTTCTAAAAATGTACACTAGTTCAGCCACAGAAAACAGACCCAAGAATGGAGTGATACCTGGGTGATACTTGGGTGGGAATCTGAATATAGCCCTAGAGATCTCGAGTTCAATCCCCGGTAGAAAATTTTTGTACACTCGTAGCTTCTCTCGGAAGGCAATGGCAAACCATCAAGTAGTATACTTTCCCAGGAAACTTTCTACTAAAAATTGCTCGAAATTGGCGTTTAAACTGTAGATCCCCATATATCTTGTGTACGATCAGTATGCGCGCAAAGATATATGAGAGGGAGGCACCTACACGCTGGTAATAGCGTATAGCCCAGGAAAATTAATTTTTTTTTGCGTTTTGGAGGTAAAAAATATTGCCATAAAAGATTCGTCTGCGGAAAGTTGTTCGAAATGACGTATTATACAACATACTAAAAGTCCTGACTGTCAGTGGACTTGGAAAACTTTCTAGCTTCAAAAAACTGATAAAAAAATCTTTCAAAAATCTCAGAAAATATTCGTTTTATCGAAATAAAGGTTATTATCAAAAAAGAAAGCTGATAAAATTACGAACAATTTTGTACTTTTTTTTTTTTTTTTTTTTAAGGTAATACGATCAATGCTTTCGAGGTTCAATACATACGAGGTTAAAAAAAAAAACATTTTCGAGCTAATTTTATAAGCTTAAAGACTGTTTATCTACATTTTTTACGATAAGTCACAAGCAAGTTATTTATTAAAATCTATTACAATTTGAGAAAATTTATTTATATCTCGACAACTATCCATCATACAAAATTCAATAAAAAATGATTTTATAGGAAATTAAAAAATTTTTCGATTTTATAATAAGTATTTTTTACATAGGAGAGTAACCAAATTCGAGATGTTTACATAAAACGTTAAAAAACAAGTTTTGTTCAAAAATAAAAGCAAACATTCTTAAAATTGTATCTCGGAAACTATTGGTTGTATAAGGATGAATAAAAAAGGATTTTGTAGGGATCGATTCAGTAATTCGAATTTAGTAATCTTCGTGAAAAATCATTTCATTCTCGAAATGACTAAAAACACATTTAAAAAAAAATTTTATCGCGGAAATTATTATATAATATAATATTGATTGTACGACCTTAAGAAAAAAAAAACAAAATTGTTCGCAATTTTATCAGTTTTCATTTTGATAATGATCTTTATTTCGATAAAATGGATACTTTCCCAGATATTTTTTTTTAAACTGCATTTTTGATCAGTTTTTTGAAGCTGGAAAGTTTTCCAAGTACGCTGGTGGTCAGGTCTTTTAGTATGATTTTTAGTATAATCATTTCGAACAACTTCTCGCAAACAAATTTTTTATGGCATTTTTACCTCCAAAAAAATCTAATTTTCTGGGGCTAGTATGGCACTTGAAGAATATAAAAATACAAATATATAAAAATAATGATTTCTTAGGTTGATGATCAAATAAGGCAACTCAACTGTAGACTTCCACCCGATGAAAGGGAAAGTGCAATCGCAATTATAGAACATTCTGGACCACCTCCCGATGCGTGCCAAGCATATGCTCAGCTTTCTGGAGTAGCGGCAGTTCTCTCCATGTATTATGCATTGCACGTAGGAGGTGGTGGTGGAGTTGGAAGGGGCAGAGGAGATGCTAGAGGCTTGATGAGAGTCCTGGCAACATTGCCAAACTGCCAAGCACAACGGGCTTTTGAAGATCCATTTTTACACACGCTGGTAATACATTTGTTGTATTATCTTATTTATTGAGCGACATTGTTATTTATCATAATTAAAATTAAATATCAATTACAAATTTTTGTATTGATAAAGTTGTTGATTTTCAATTGCAGGTTTCGTTATTAATATTAAACATGGCTGACGAATTTTCAAACGAATCGTTTTGTACAGTAATTTTTGACGAATTCTTCTTGGCCGGTTTAGGAAGGGACAACGTCACACGACATCTGTTAAAATTACTTTGGTACATACATCCTAAATTACCATCCACGCGATTACATTCATTATTGAAAGCCTTACAACCAACAAGTCAGGTAATACTTTACAATATTCAGAAAAAGTCCGTTATATGTTTATTAAATGGGATAACTGAGTTTAAAGATACTCTGTTTTTATTATATATGTAGTATATATAATCTTAAATTGTTGGATTACGATTACGAAATTTTTCCGCATATACGGAATGCGGGATTTGAACTATCGGTTAAAAATCCGTCGCTCTTACACAGAGCCACATGACATCCCACTGTAAAATTATTGATTTAATGTTTTTAAATTTACAGCATAACGAAGCAGTCCACAGTCTTTACGAATCTCTACGTGATAAAGTTGGTAATCATGCTACAGAAGACCAGTTAGCAGTGACAACTCAAATGGATCCGTTAAGTCTAGACTGTTCTCCTTCTGTGTTTACTGGAATGCCACCATCAACATCGAGCACACTTTAATAATATCTAATTCAAGATAAAAAAAAGTGATTTGAGCTTCCTCAGTTTAAGAGTACAAGAAGAGTGATCATACTGTGATGTGTACTGTCATTGATATATATCTTCTAATTTAATTAATTAAATTTTTATACATCTAATTTAATTTTTTGTCTTATATATATTTATAATTTTGGAAGAAATCTTTTATTTATGCTACAATACTTTTTAATAAAGTATACACATAAAAAATACAGTTATAAAATAGGAGTAAAATTATTGTAAAAAAACATTCAGATAACCTAAACAAAATATCATTGCGATATTTTTATAATCAATATATTTTTTCAGAAAAGATTTTATATAAAATTAAATGTAAGAATAAAATTAAAAAAATATAAGAGTAATTTTAATATTAATAAACTATATTTCAATTTTTATTTAGCATTGTTATCGTTTGATTTAAATGCATCTACATTGTTTGTTATTTCCATTATAAATCTATCTAAATAATTAGAATCTAATTTATATGTTGTCAGAATCATAGACGTGTACATTGAAGCTTGCTTAGATCGGAGCAACAATTGCAATTGTGTATCAATCAAGCTTAACCTGGAATTATATATTTATTTTTATAATATAATATATTTTTATATAGTATTTTTAAAATTCATTTTATATTTAGATTAGACATTGCAATTAAACTTACATTTTAATGATGACGAGTCCCACAAGTATCCATTCAGCGGTTTTAAAGACAATATTTGTAGCAGATAAATTAAAAGTACTTGTCAAAATCTTGATTAGTGAGTATTTTTCGTTATTATAAGTACATTGTGCTAGTGAAGAAATATTAGTATTGGTTGTTAAAGCGCACATCAAATCTGGCAATCTGTAATTAACAAATACATTAATAACTATAATGATTGAATTTCAGATACCAAACTTTTAACATTTGATCTCTAATCATCACTTAGAAATGGAGAAATTATTACATTTTATTAAGGTTATCCAAGAAAATTCGGTGACGAAGTGCATTAGGCGTGTAAGTGTCTGTTAATGGTAATATAGGTTCAACATTATCTTTACTTTCTAATTCTTCATTACTATCCTCAGATGGTGCAATCTTCATTTGACCTTCGTAAAATGCACGTACCTGTGTACACATTACAATTAGTCGATACATTTTGTTTTCAAATTAAGATTAATATTCGATCGTACCTTTAATTCCATTTTCTTTCCATCCTCTTGGAGCACGGAGAAGTGGGGTAGAGGTTTGAGATCGTTTTTCTTAAAATCACGCTCTTCCTTTTCATCTTCCATTTGCAATTTGTTTAACTTTTTACACAACTGTTGATACTTATCGTACTGTGTAAATTTTTCTAATAACTGATTTCTTTCATTCTCTTCGCCCATTAGAAGGCAAAGAGTATTTTTTGTAACCCATTCTTTAACACTCTCTTCAACATGAATTGCAACTTTGAGATAAATATTATTTTGTACTCCTGCATTATCAGTTTTTTTCAGCCTGTACTGTTTACTTTTATTAATTCTACTTGTCTCTCCTATTTTCCTATATTCATCATACGTAGATGCAGAAGAAATCACAGTATTATTCTTGTACATTTTATCCAAATGGGATTGTTTCATATTTTTATCAGTAAGACTATTATTTACTTCATCTATCTGAGGTTCTAATTTCGTTTCATTTTCATCATTCTTGTTACTTATTTCGACTGATTGAGATGTTTGAGGCTGTAACCTTTCACTAATGTCATCTTCATTGTTACTTACTTTGCCCAATTGAGGCTGCAATATTTCATTATCAAATATATCTACATTAATTTTATCTTTTGTATCCCTATTGTGTTTATGCAAATGTAAAATATTCCCAGATTGGCCAGCAATTTCTATTTCTAAATTCTCTAGATTTACATCTACTTGTTGGATATTATTATTATCATAATTACTTTCACCAGCAACGTCAATTTCCTCTCCACACGTAGGCTTAGAGTTAACAGGCAAAATTTGAAAGACTGGTATATCCTCTTTCTCTCTCAACCAGAGCGGACTCTCAAGCATTTGTTCAAGAAGAAAATTAGCCGCCCCAAAGCACAACGAACTGCAAAAGTTTTTCCGTTTGCTGACATCATACACTTTATTCTTACGCGTTGATATGTGATACTGTTGTCGGATAATGACAGTCAACTGATTCGGACAAAGAACATATCCACATAACTTTACTAATGCTCTCTCCTCTATCACATCTTCCATATGATTCTTACTTATAAATCCTAGCTATAAGAGCAATAAAATCATGCTAAATTATTGAGATCTTGTTGTCGAATACTCGAACTGCCCAAATATAGAGACAATATTTGTTAGCGCACTTACATTTTGCAGGAGCCAGTCAGGATCCACATGCAATTCCAGAAGCTGCATAACTATTGCAAGAGCTTTCGCATCACACTGTTTCTTTTTTATTATAGCCAGCTGCATCTGCTCCTTGCTTAAAGAAAAATTTAATCAAATGAAAAAGGCAATTCATTCATTTCCGATGCATACAAGAGAACTTACCTCATCTTTTTCAATTTCTTCTTCTCAGTCATTTGTTTCTTCGTTGTTGACATCGTCGCAGTGTTATTCGTTTTATGTTGCAAAAGACGATATATCAGATAACGTGGTAAAATAATTTGCAATTATAAGTACCTCAAAATAACTTTTCTATTTCGCGCACTCGTAATTAGCAAAGGTTATTGGAGATTAACCTTCATTTGTCAGAAAAAGTGATGAGTGCTGGCTCAGAACATATATAAATGGAAGATCATGGGGGTGAAGCTAGTATTAGGTAATAGGAAACAACATGGCGGCCGATCCAGGCAATATCGGGAGTGCGCGCGCAGGCGCAGCTCCATCAGCAAGATGCGCAAACAACGAATAAACGAATTGCCATTTTTGCCGGTCGTTGCATCCACGAGTTCACGGTGCTTTCAAAGCGCTCGACGATTTGGGAAAGTCCAGGGTGCTTTCAAAGAACAAGAGACGCCCACAATCTAGCGTCTCCGGAATCTTCGCGTAATTAGGTGCGTGTTACGCAAGTGCAATCGTGGCGGCTCACATAAATGAGATACACGTGTTTATGATTCGGATGGACAAGTTCGCACTTTATTATCATCATTCTTGGAAGGTCGGAATACCGAGACATCGTGAAACAGCAACTGGCTGCGAGTAGCTCAGGAAAAGGTACCTGAGCTCAGACCCGGTGCCTGTGTTAACGACTCCAGAACACTGCCAAACTGTTAATTTCGTCAAGGCACACTCCCTCATGGATGATGCAGTGCAATCTTACTTTTCGATAACTAAAACCAGTTTCAAGTAAGTAATTTGATCAATAAATATTTTCGATATATTTTTATTAATGTAGTTTTAATATAATATATTCATGTATATAATATCTCTATACCTAAACACGCTTTAATGCAATATATTTAAACTACGAATCTTTTTGTCAATTTTAAGTAGATATTCCTTAAAAATATATTAAATTAATTATAGCTTCTCAATTTTTAACGTTGTATACTTTTTAATATCAAATACGCTAAGATATACATGTATTATTATACATATTATACATGTGTAAAAATATGAGAATTACATACAATTAAATTATTATATAATTATTATACATTCTTACATACAGGGTGTCAATTATGTACCGGGACGGTCAAATATTTCGACAACTTCCAACATTAAAAAAAAACGCTGAAACACGTGAAACGATTTTTCAAAAAATAGGAAAAGGTACCTGAGCTCAGACCCGGTGCCTGTGTTAACGACTCCAGAACACTGCCAAACTGTTAATTTCGTCAAGGCACACTCCCTCATGGATGATGCAGTGCAATCTTACTTTTCGATAACTAAAACCAGTTTCAAGTAAGTAATTTGATCAATAAATATTTTCGATATATTTTTATTAATGTAGTTTTAATATAATATATTCATGTATATAATATCTCTATACCTAAACACGCTTTAATGCAATATATTTAAACTACGAATCTTTTTGTCAATTTTAAGTAGATATTCCTTAAAAATATATTAAATTAATTATAGCTTCTCAATTTTTAACGTTGTATACTTTTTAATATCAAATACGCTAAGATATACATGTATTATTATACATATTATACATGTGTAAAAATATGAGAATTACATACAATTAAATTATTATACAATTATTATACATTCTTACATATATTATATAAGTTGTAATTTTAAGAAAATATGATTTTGGTTTAGGTAAAGGAAGTGCTACTGGCTCAACATGTTCTGATAAGCGTAAACACTGACTCTGTTAGAGACAACTTTTTTCATGGAAAGAACGGGGCTATAAAATTGACGGAAGAGGAATTCAAGTATCTAGACAATTTATATAATGAGATAGTGATAAAGCATTAACGTGAAGAAGGTGATCTGACATTTGGTCAGCAAGCA